GAACCAGTAGACTCCTGAGGTCAAGATCTGAATATGAAATCTTCTCCTACACACGTTCCAAATGCTCCCAACCCACTGTACTTCTGCACGGTCCCCACTTCCAAGAGGCAGCTGCCCTTCATTGTTCTCATTAAAGATGATCTTCTGTTGAGGTAGGTCTCTAGCTTTTATAGTCCACGTTACCTTGATCAATCCTGATCAAATACTAAACCCAAATAAACATTTCTGTTGTGGAATAATCTTTTTGTACAATGTGAAGATGTGTCTTTGCCAAGGTGCCTTCTGATTGGATTAATAAAGAGCTGAATGGCCAATAGCTAGGCAGGAAGAGATTAGGTGGGACTTCCGGGCAGAAAGAAAAGAAGAGGAAATGAATCTAGGTGGGGGAGTCGCCAGAGGAGATAGAGAGGAAGCCGACACACAGGAGGCGAGGTGACTGCCACGAGTCATTTAACAGCACATAGATTAGTAACAATGGGTTAATTTAAGTTATAAGAGGTAAATAAATAAGCCCAAGTTAAGGCCAAGCTTTTAAAATTAATAACGTCTCTGTGTCATTTGTGAGCTGGCAGCCCAAAGAAAAATCTATCTACTTCTTTCTTCCTTACTTTGCCTTTTTATGGGTATTTTTACTCACAGCGACAGAGAAAGTAATGAAGAGCACACTGTGAGCCCTAAATGTCTTACAGTGAGCCACCATGTCCATATTTGACTTTCAGAAGGGATAGTTGCTGTGACCTTAACAAACAAAATTTGTAGCAGGGCCTGGTGCAGTAAATCTGTAATCCCAGAAGCTGAGAGGCAGAGGAATCAGGAGTGCAAACCCCACTTGCCTCTAAAAACAAAACAGGTAGGGGACAGAGACAGGTGGATCTCTGTGACTTTGAGGTCAGCCTGCTCTATAGATCAAGTTCTAGGCCAATCAAGGCTACATGGTGAAATACTGTCTATAACAACAACGACAAAAACTAAACAATAAAAATTATAGAGTTCTTTTGTTTGAGACAATGTATTTTGTTCTTCTATGTAATCCCACATGTCCTGGAGTTCCTGCGGAGGAAGAGATTAGCCTCAAACTCACAGAGATTCTCCTGCCTCTGCCTCCCAAATGATGGGGGGTTCGCTATCACACCTGACTGGGAAATTCTTCATGTTATAATTTTTCCAAAATTAAGGATGCATAACTGAGACAGGATGGGTGGTAGTGCTCAGGGTTGGTGCTGGAGAGATGGCTCAGCAGTTAAGAGCACTTGTTGCTCTTGCAAAGAACCCCAGTTCAGTGTCCAGCACCCATGAGGTGACTGACAACTGTCTGTAACTCTAGTTTTAGAGGATCTTGCCATACATCCAGTATGCCACTAATAGTGAGCACTATTCTATACTTATTAACCGAACCCTTGCCCTAAACGGCCTCAGGCTCTGGATCTGTAACCACTGTTCCTCTCGATTGTGTGTTTTTCATCTCTGGGACCAGGTATGCCCAGTTAATAAATCTTTAACTTCTCTATTCTTGTTGTAATCAGTGGGCATAATGGGGAGTCTTGTGTGGGACGTAGACAGAGTTGTCATGCTATCCACAGTGGCAGTGATTTGTCTGTTTAAAGAGACTGCCATTGTGTGTATGTGTGTGTATATATATATATATATATATATATATATATATGTTCTTTTTTTTTATTTATTTTGTTTACAGTGTTCTGTCTGCATGTGTGCATGCAGGCCAGAAGAAGGCACCAGATTTCATTACAGATGGTTGTGAGCCACCACGTGATTGCTGGGAATTGAACTCAGGACTTCTGGAAGAACAATCAGTGCTCTTAACCTAACTCCAGCTCCAGGGGATCTGACAGCCTCACACAGACATATATGCAGGCAAAACACTAATGAACATTTTTTTTTAAATCCTAGAAGGTAAAAGGATGCTGGAAAGTTGTGATTTGCAATGTCAAAATGCTGGAACTTTGTCAAGGAGCAGTGGTTGCCACGAAGTCCACAAAACAAAACAAACAGCTTTAGCCTGGCAGTGGTGGCGCACATCTTTAATCCCAGCACTCAGAGGGAAGAGGCAGGCAGATCTCCGAGTTTGAGGGCAGCGTGCACTACACAGTGAGTTCCAGGATAGCCAGGGACATACAGAGAAACTCTGCCTCAAACCAAAGCAAATTCTCTCTCTCTCTCTCTCTCCCCTTGTGCAAAGCCCTTAGAGGCCAGAAGAGGGCATCAGATCCCTTGGAACTGACTGGAACTGGAATTACAGGTAGTTGTGAGCTACCAGAAGTGGGTGCTGGAATTCTTTTATTTTTATTTTTTTATATTAAAAATAATCTTATTTTACATACTATTCCCAGTGCTCTCTCCTTCCCTTCCTCCTGCTACCCCCACCTTCTCCCCACTCCACCCCCTTCCACCCCTCAGAGAGGGTGGGTCCTCCCTTGGGGAGTCAACAATGTCACATCATTTGAGGCAGGACCAAGGTCCTCCCCCCTGTATCTAGACTGAGCAATGTATCCCTCCATAGGGAATGGGCTCCAAAGAGCCAGTTCATGCACTAGGTATAAATATTGGCTCCACTGCTAATGGCCCCACAACCTGCCCAAGCTACACAACTGTCACCCACATTCAGAAGGCCTAGTTCAGTCCTATGCCAGTTCCCCAGTTGTCAGCTCAGAGTCGGTAAGCTCCCACTTGTTCAGGTCAATTGTTTCTGTGGGTGTCCCCATCATGGCCTTGGCCCCTTTGCACACATTATCACTCCTCCCTCTGTATGGATGGACTCCAGGAGTTGGCCACAGCTCTTAGCTGTGAATCTCTGCATCTGCTTCCATCAAGTACTGGATGATGGTTCTATGATGACAATTAAAGTAGTCATCAATGTGATTACAGGGGAAGGGCAGTTAAGGTACCCTCTCCACTATTGCATAGGGTCTTAGCTGGGGTCATCCTTGTGGATTCCTGGGAATTTCCCTAGTGCCTGGTTTCTCACTAACCCCATAATGGCTCCCTCTTTCAAGGTATCTCTTTCCTTGCTCTCCCTTTCTGTCCTTCACCTAACTCGATCTATCTGATCCCTCAAAGAAGACCTCAACATAAATCCAGCCATACTGAACCTCATAGAAGAGAAGGTGGGAAATAGCCTTGAACGCCTTGGCACTTTCTGAATATAACCCCAGTAGCAGAGACACTGAGATAGACAAAAAATGGGACCTCCTGGAACTGAGAAGCTTCTGTAAGGCAAAGGACAGTCAGCAAGACAAAAAGTCAACATACAGAATGGGAAAAGATCTTCACCAATTTCACATCCAACAGAGTGCTGATCTCCAAAATATATAAAGAACTTAAGAAACTAGATATCAAAATATCAAATAATCCAATTAAAAATGGGATACAGATCTAAATAGAGAATTCTCAACAGAGGAATCTTAAGTGTCAAAAGACACTTAAGGAAATAGTCAACATCCTTAGCCATCAGGGAAATGCAAATCTAAACAACTCTGAGATACCATCTTACACCTCTCAGAATGGCTAAGTTCAAGAACACTAATGAAAGCTTATGCTGGAGAGGATGTGGAGTAAGGGGAACACTCCTCCATTGCTGGTGGGAATGCGAACTTGTACAGCCACTTTGGAAATCAATATGGCAGTATCTCAGAAAATTGGAAATCAATCTACCTCAAGACCCAGCAATACCACTCTTGGGCATATACTCAAAGGATGTTCAATCATACCCAAGGACATTTGATCAATCATGTTCATAGCAGCAGTATTTGTAAATAGCCAGAAGCTGGAAATAACCTAGATGCGCTCAACCGAAGAATGGATAAAGAAAATGCCGCAGATTTACACAATGGAGTACTACTCAGTGGCAAAAAATAACGACATCTTGAAATTTGCAGGCAAATGGATAGAACTAGAAAAAAAAAAAAACATCCTGAGTGAGGTAACCCAGACACAGAAAGACAAACACTATGGTATGTACTTATACGTTAATTTTAGACATAAAGCAAAGGATAACCAGCCTATAGGCTACAACCTCAGAGAGGACAGGAAACAAGAAGAACCCAAACAGAAACACACATGGATCCCCCTGGGAAGAAGTAGACAAGGTCTCCTTAGTAAAATGGCAGCATGGGGGGAGGGGAAAGGGTAGTAAGAGAACAGTGAGGGGAGAAGGGGAGCAGGGTGCTAAAATTCTAATTCTGGTCCTCATGATTGAGCAGCAAGTGTTCTTAACCACCAAACCATCTTGACTTTTTAGGGGTTATGTACGAAATACAAAATACTAGGAAAGATACTTGGGGTGGTTGCAGTCCTGAGGATTGAAACCAGGACTATGCTAAGGCCACGAGCTAGGTAGGCTTCCAAAGAATACTTTTATTTGCTTGTTTGTTTATTTATTTATTGGTTTTTTTTTTGGGGGGGGGGGATAGGGTTTTATCAGTAGCTTTGGAGCCTGTCCTGAAACTAGCTCTTTTAGACCAGGCTGGCCTTGAACTTACAGAGATCCGCGTGCCACCTTCTCCCTAGTGATGGGATTAAAGGCGTGTGCCATCACCGCCCAGCCCCAAAGAATACCTTTATAGCTAAATATTTGCATGACCACATTCTTCATTTCCTGGGAAGATTCTGTAAAAATGTACCTTCTGAACCCAAGACTGCTTATTTGCGATTTAAAAATATTTTTGGATAAATTTTAGATTCACAACAAAATTTAGCTTAAAATTCAGAGTCCTCATATGCCTCCTGGGGGCCTTCTTTCCCTCTTCTCAACAATCTGATGTTTTTGTTTTCTTCTGGTGCTGAGGGTCTGGTCCTGTCACCTCCCACATGCTAGGCAAGGTTCCATACATGCTTTTTGGTTCTCTTGATTTATGTGAAAGCTTTCAGGGGAGTATGCAAAGACACGGGAAACAAGCACTGTGATTTATTAAATCATGATTAAATAGTTTAGGGCACAGGTGTCAAAACAAAAACTACATTTCCCAGAGTGCAATGCATCACGTCACAGAGAAGTATCGGGCATGCGCAAAGGAGTCCTCCGCGCTCGACCGCGCTCATAAGAGAAACAGCGTGTGTGGTTCTTGACGTGCCGCGAACCTTCGAACACAAGTGCCATAGTACCCTGTGAAGAAGCGTTCCAGCGACTCTCCTGTTCCCGCCATCGCAGTCACCAGCGCGGCGTGCTGTTTCGCCCTAGACTCGGTAGGTGGGACGGGACCATGGCAAGACACTTCCGAGCAGCGCGGGAACGAAGGGCCAGCGTTCCTGCCCGGCGCCCGGCTCGCTGAGGCGGCTTCGGAGCTGACGCGCAAGCGCTCTGGACGGGGCAGGGGGCGGGGCTGTTGGGGGGGCCTTCGCCCAGCTCCCTGGGTCTGCGCGTGCGCCCTGCGTCCCTGGCGAAGTGGGACGGCGCTGGAGCTGGCTCGACTTGGGGCGGGCACCTGATGAGGTCCTCGGCCTGAGAGTACCGCCCGCCCCTCCCCGCTCCCCGACCCCGGCACTTTTTACTGCTCGCTCAAATGGTTTTGAGACGCTCTCACTCAGCCTGGCCTTGACCTCGCGATCGTGCGCCCCCAGCTCCACGTGCTGAGATTACAGACTTGAGCCACACATTCCCTACCTGTGCACATTTACACAACAGTAACTTAGCCATCCTCCTGCTCACTCACCTGTCAGCTCACTCGTGCAGCCTAGAGCGGCGGCTTCTACTCATTAGCATCTTCTCCCACCAGTCTTTATTCGGCTCTCTCCAGAGAAGCCCTGTCTCATGTCATTCCAGAGAAACAGCTCTACCAAAGCCACCTTGACTTCTGGGTTGCCTAGTTCAGTGATGAAGGCTTGGTAACACCCTCTTTCATTGCCTAAAACTCTTGCTCCATTTCTTTAGCTTTAATGGTTGTACCATCGAAATACGTAGACCCTACATCTCGCCTTTCTTTTTGTTCACTCCCCGGGCTTTATCTACTTTACATTTTAAGTATAAAGGACATTTATTTTGGTGCTAACTCTCGTTCCTATCCTTTTTTGTTTGTTTTTGTTTTTCGATACAGGGTTCCTATATAACAGCCCTCTCGGTCCAGGAACTCGCTTTGTAGGCTGGCCTCGAACTCACAGAGATCTGCCTGCCTCTCCTCCCAAGCGCTGGGATTAAAGGCATGCACCACCATTGCTTGGCTTTCATTTCTACCTTTTAAAAGTCTTTAGTGTGTGTGTGAAGATAGTCATGTTCATGCCATGGCATTGTGTGAAGCTCAAAGGACAGCGTGGTTCTCTCCTTCCACCATGTGGGTTTCTAAGATTGAACTCAGGTTGCAGGTTGCCAGGCTTGGTGCAAGCTCTTGCATCTGCTGGGCTGTCTCACTGGCCCTTAACTCGGTATTCTGTTGTAGCGTTCGAATCCACTGGGAAAGACAAAAGACTTATACTCAATTCAAATTTAGATTAAATGAGTTTATTCTTTTTTTTGTCCATTTTATTTATTTATTTCGAGACAGGATTTCTCTGTAGCTTTGGAGCCTGTCCTGGAACTCGCTCTGTAGACCAGGCTGGCCTCGAACTCACAGAGATCTGCTTGCCTCTGCCTCCCGAGTGCTGGGATTAAAGGCATGTGCCACCATCGCCCAGCTCAAATGAGTTTATTCTTACTACTAGGAGAACGACAGCAACCGTGCCAGGGTGGCTAAAGGAAGGGTTTACAAAGATGGATGGATATCAATCCACAGCTGGGCAAGAAAATTTGCAACCTTCAGTTGTTTTCCTTTCCCATTGTATGGTAATAAAAAGACTACTTCATCCCAATCCCAGAGCAATAAGCAAGTTTACAAAAGTAGAAGACAGGAACACCATTATCTTGTTTTTATCTCATCTCACTCTCACAGGCATTACAGGAAAAGGTAAAGGGCCTGTAAGGGATGTCTAGTACCTATTCAGTTTCTTTGGCTGTCACAGGGACACTGTGTGCAAATTATTAGAGGTCTGGTACTCTGGAGGGAGTGTCAGTAGTTGGAGCGGGCCTTCAGGTCAGTGCTGGCTGTCACATTCCCCAACAGTTTTACCTTGAATTCAAGACTTAGGTTTATTTGTGCATTTTTATTATTAATTAAAATATTTTTCTTTTTTTAAAAATATTTATTTATTTATTTATTATGTGTACAATAGTCTATCTGTATGTATGTCTGCAGGCCAGAAGAGGGCACCAGACCTCATTACAGATGGTTGTGAGCCACCATGTGGTTGCTGGGGATTGAACTCATGACCTTTGGAAGAGCAGGCAATGCTCTTAACCACTGAGCCATCTCTCCAGCCCTTAATTAAAATATTTTTGAAAGGTTTTACGGCCCGATAAACCTCTCCGCCAATGCAATAATCCAAATTAGACCAAATCAAGCCAAATTAGAAAAGGCGAGGTTTAATGGATGCCAGCACTTCCCCCAGGCCCCCCTACCCCCCCAGGGATAGAAACAGGAAGGAAGACCAGAACGAAGAGACAACTGAAAAGCCCACATGTTCATTCTCTGGGGGGCAGTTTAAGTAGCCTGTGGGAGTGGTCTTGACCCTCTCTGGGGAGGGCTCACCATTTCCCAGGCTTTCTTGGAGGTGGTATCTGGACTGAGGTAACTCCCAGAGGAGGGGGCCTGGAATGGAAAGTTCCACCCAAACATTCCAGACTCCCCAGACACATGGATGCCAGGGCCTGGGTGAAGCCTCCAACCAAACAATTTTATATATTTTTTAATTTGTTATCTTGAGACTGGTCTCCCTATGCAGCTCTACCTGTCCATGAACTCATTATATAGACCAAGCTGGCCTGTAACTCACAGAGATCTGCTTGCCTCTGCCTTCCTAGTGCTGGGATTAAAGTCATGGGCTACTATGCTTGGCAGCACTTTATTTTTTAAAGGTTATTTTTATTTTATGAATTTGAGTATTTTGCCTGATGTATGTTTATACACCAGATGCAGAGACCACATGAGGTTATCAGAGCCCCTGAAACTGGAACATGGTTATTAGGAATTGAACCTGCCTCTCAGAGGAACAGCCAGGGTCTCTCTCTATAGTCCAGCCTGACTTTGAACTCATGATGATCCCCCTGTCTTGGTCTCATAGGGCTGCAGATTTTTCTGTCCAGCTCTGGCATCATCTCCCCTCTTGAATGTCTAATAAACGTTTTAAGTGTGGCCCAAACTGAAATTTTTAGTTTTATCCTCACGTACTCATACTCTCACTAGTGTTCCAGTTCCTCCAGATACTCAGGCTAGCAACTTGGGAGATATTTGTGGTGTTCCCCCACCCTTCCCATCTTTGTGATAGAACATAGTTATTGAGACTTTGAGGGTAGGATTTCTCAGCGCCTAATTATATGTTGTCATTTTGTACTCTGACTTATCCATCTGCATAGTTTCCTTTCTGTTGCAGTGATAAGCACCCTGACAAAACCCAGCTTGGAAGAGAAGGGTTTGTTTGGCTGACCACTCGGGATTGTAGTCCATCACTGTGGGGCAGCAAATAGTCACAGCTGCAGTCAAGAGCATAGAGGTGAATTCAGAGTGTCTGCTTGTATTCAGGCCTCTCTCTTCACTTACACAGTCCAGGACCTAAACCCAGGGAATGGTGCCCCCGAGAAAGGGTGGTTTTCCCATCTCTGTTAACACAAGCGAGATAATCTCTCACAGGCAACCTGATCTAGACATTGAGAATCTTTTCCCAAGTGACTTAGATGTCAAGTTAAAACTAGTAATCATCACATATTTATCTTCTCGCGTGCTGATTTCACCATAAGAATAAATACATGGAGCATATGCTCACATAGTGATGGAAATGCAGTTAGCTGATTTTGTCCTATGACCATTACAGAATGTTCTTATACAACCCTAGATTGTGTGGCTTACTACATACCTGTTATTCCTGGGCTACACTTATACATAGTGTGTTACTATAGCAAATAGTGTAGGTAATTTTCATAAAATGGACAGTATTTGTGTATCTACACAGAAAAGGTTCAGTAAAAATACTAGGTGAGGCCGGGCGGAGGTGGCGCACGCCTTTAATCCCAGCACTCGGGAGGCAGAGGAGGTGGATCTCTGTGAGTTCGAGACCAGCCTGGTCTACAAGAGCTAGTTCCAGGACAGGCTCCAAAATCACAGAGAAACCCTGTCTCGGAAAAAAAAAATACTAGGTGAGGGCCAGTAAAATGACTCAGATGGTGAAGGCACTTGTCACAGCCTGGTAGCCTGCGTGTGACCCACATGGTGGGAAGAAAACCAGTAAACACTGTGGCACGTGTTCACACACAGTAAATAAATATTTGATAAAAAGTAGTGAAGTGATGGAAGTTTGAGCTTATAATCTTATATTTTTGAGTGTTAACTTTTTTGTGTTTTGAGACAGGGTTTCTATGTGTAAGAACCTTGGCTGTCCTAGAACTTCCTCTGTAGACCAGGTTGGCCCCTAACTCTCAGAGATCCTCCTGCCTCTGCCTCCTGAGTGCTGGGATTAGAGACGTCTGCCCCCTTACCTGGGTAATATAATAAATATTATAATCTTTTATTAAGATTCTATTAATAATACTAGATATTCAAGAGGAGATATAATGCTAGATCTGAATATACAAACCTGCATTAATATCTTATGAGACCACTATCGTAAGTTTGGTCTGTTGTTGGGTGCTGGCATTGTTTGACATGTGGCTTTATTTGTTTAAATATCCATTCTGCATTGCTTTTCTTTCACTACTGCGTACCCTTCATGTCTTTGATAATTTTAAATACTACTGAGTGGAATTATGAAGGGGCAGCACTTCTATATATGTGGGAAGTACAGAGTCTCTTGGAAGATGTTGGTGTTTACCAGCCTTTTCTGGAGACAGAGAACTTGAATAGCTTAGCTTCAAACTGTTGCAGTGTTCTAAGCTGAAAGACTGCTCTAAAGGGTGGCCAGGACTCAGCTCTGTTCAGCCATCTGATCTGAAAGCACTGTGCCAAGGCCTGTGCGGATCAGAGACTAGAGCAGCACTCCTGTATTCTCAGAGCTTGTGGTCTGGTAGGAGAGCTGTCAGTGAAACAGCTTATCATACGCATGAATGACAAGTACAAGAATAGAAGTTTGTTCAGGAGGCTGAGGAATTCAGTGCCAACCTGGGCACAGTGAGGCCCTACCTCAGAAAGAAATAAGCTGGGCGTGGTAGCACACACCTTTAATCCCAG